GAAAAGCCTATTTATCGCAACATTGTAAGGTAGATTAATGATCCACAAGTATACACATATACTTACTTATTTAGTAAATAACAGGTCTTTTACAAATTGATGCATTTCTATAGAATAAAAAAATGCTATTTTTCTGTAAAAGTGAATTTTGTACGTAGTGTGTAGCTTTACAGAGGTGCTTTAATCAAAACTTCAAGAAACCGAAATACGTCGAAACTTATTTAAGACAAAATTATTGAGAATTTTTCCGCACAATGACGTGTGTGTTTATTATATTATATATTAGTCTATATTGATATGAAAAACGTAAAATCGATGGCTTAATCGATGGAGGCCAAGTTCACCACTAATAAAATAATGAAATTAAAAACTCTAATGTAATGCACCAATTTAAATATAAACCAACGACAAAAAAGAACAATATTATTTTTATTATTTGTCCAAATACAATTTAATCACAAAGAAAGATGACTTGGACATTTTGTAGACCAAATACATTATACGCCTTTGCATAACCATTAAATTTGAAATTAAATAAGTGAGTATCGCAATTTTTAAAACAAAACGATACATCGATTTCCTGAAAATGTTCGTGTGCTTGCTACCTATCGTTCGTTGATAGAATGATGTTACTTTGTAATAATCCTTGGGTACGTCGTAAACAACAACTGTGCCATATTTCGTAACACCTGGATGAATGGCTTAGGGATGTATTGAGGACAAACGAAGGATTAACCATTGCGTCGGTTGCCATGGTGACGGTTACCTCAACAACGGTTATTATAGCAACCATTTGGTATTCCATAATTTGCTTGTCGCCCACAGGCAAAATGAGTGATGGCTGCATAGTTAAGAGAGTTTAAATATTGTCTAAAAAGGACAGATATAATTAAATACGTTGCTATTGACAGAAACGACCATAAACTACGATCCTAAAATAAATGTAAAACAAAAATCATTCATCTACCTTTTTTTTTTTTAACGCTGGGGTATCCATTTACGGATTCCCGGTCGAGGGGGGTAACGGACCGGGTTATGTCGGACTCCGGCGCCTCCTGAGAGGAAGAAGGGGAGAAGAGAAGGGCCTCCTTCACCTCCCCCAATTTCTCACAGGAGACTACGCCTTGAAAAAGGCGCGCGAAGCACTTGCCCCGCAGATCATTCATCTACCTAGTCGTACATATTATGAACTTATCGTTCAAGTATATATTAATTAATAAAACAGCACAGTGTGAAAGTACCCCATGTACATCAAAAGAAAATACAATGATTACTATAACTGAACTATAAACACAAACGAGCGACAAATCTGATCGTATCAGCTGACCAACATTTATTGCAGAATAAAAGAAAGAATCTATAACAGCGGATTTAAGGACCGGAGATCCTTTGGATTATTTCAATATAACTTTTTTGAGCCTATACGAGTATGATACTCTTTATTTCCTTCACCCCGAATTATTATCATACACTTGAAAATTTTGACAGATATGCATTTTTTGCACCGGCATTGTCCTTGTAGGCTGCGATCATACGGTCAGCCAAGCCGGTACCTGCCTTGAAATACTATTAGCAAAACTATAATCTTAAATAAGAACCCCGTCGAACTATTAATCATCAGATTATATAACTTGCTTCGTATCATATATATGGGTAACATTTTTAGGGTACGCCTAACGGTTTTACAGAAGAAACAATTACAGAAAAGTTTTAGAAAAAATACAAATTTTAATTCCTAGTGTCAAGAAATATGTTCTAGAACTACAACCAAACTGGTAAGTACAACCAAAAAGCATAATATTACAGCTGCAAGGCGTTCGTGGTCTCTTAATGAGTCAGGCGAGGGCTAATTATCACTATAAGAATATTGAAATCTGTATATCTCGTTGCGAAAAAAATGTACTAAATTTATAGGACAGTAGCGGTACTCATGATTCCTGACAATAAACACACCCAATCCTGCGGACCGAATGGTAAACAGTCGCCGTCGCTCAAAACACGTCCCTACGGATCCTCCCGATCCACTAACGGTGCTTTTAGGTACCTCAAGCACCGGTCACCGTTCTCGTCGAACACGTCGCTTGCGACGCAGTGTTTGATGAGCAAATAAACCCTCGGACACCATCCACTGTGTTTCTCGCCGGATCTTCTCAGTGAGTGGCGTTTCCGATCTGATGGTAGATTCTGCGCATCGCTGCTCTTGCTAGTGTTAGCAAATTCGTCAAATTAGAGCCCCGTGAGCTCACCTACTCACCCGGTGAATCTAGTATAACCCCTCGAGGTTACTAGAATAGGTAGGAAAAAAAACTGACAATAACATAATGCTATTGAAACATTTTATTTATTATTCTAATAATTTAGTATACTGACGTTGGTTGATGTTAAATATCTGGTTTCTTTAACAGTAAAATTGAATAGATTTAAAAATTAAGTAAAACAAGTCAATCTAGTGATTACTTATTTAATATTTCAATTGAAAATTTTTTGTTAGTTCAAAATCATGGCTTCTTTCTCTATCTCTCTCTTCAGTTAGGATACAAAACAGTTCAGCACATACCTAGTCAGGTCATAAATTCTGTCACATGTTTAATGTAAAATAATTGAAACAAGTTTATTCATTATGTAACCATTCATATACCAAAATGAACTTAACAAAACATAGATTCTTATGACACTAAAGTTTATTCAAAATGACCTCCGTGATTTTGAATACAGGCCTTCAATCTGCGCGGCCAATCGTCTATCGCAGCACGAACGAGGTCCATGTCAATATCGGCGGCTGCCTTAATCAAGGATGTCTTGAGTGACTCCAAATTGGGATGAGGCTTTGAGCACGCCTTTTCCTCCAAGTGTTGCCATATCTTGTAATCTAACGGATTCAAATCTGGACTGGAGGAGGGCCAGTCTTCGTGCCGGATGAAGTCGATTTCACGCGCCGCCAGCCAGTCTTGTGTGCTCTTCGCTCTATGAGCTGGCGCCGAATCTTGTTGGAATACCCAGTGCCTGTTATTGAACATGGTATGAGAAACAGGTTCCACAAGGTTCGTCAGGACTGTATTTTGATACACAACTGCATTCGTTTTTACACCTTTCTCACAAAAATGTACCTCTGTTAAGCCCCAATAAGAAACTCCCAACCATACCATGAGCGAGGATGGAAAATGACCTCGTTGGACACGCGGAATACGGTTGCTCGCTTCTTCACTACTGTGTGCGTACACCTTATCATTTTGTTTGTTGTAGCTCTCTTCTACGGTAAAAATTTTTTCATCCGAAAAAAGAATTTCCCGATATTTTTTTCCCGCGTACCGCTTCAACAAAGCGCGGCATCTCTTCAGTCTCAGGTCCATTAGACGAGCATTCAAACGATGTCCTGTTTTTCTTCGATATGCCCGAAGCCCTAAGTCTTCATTTAACACCCTTTTCACCGTGGTTCTGCTTAACCCCATCTGAAGGGCCAACAGTTTCTGCTTACGTTTGGGATTTCTTTGAATTCGCGCCTTCACAGCTTTTATCACTGCTGGAGTCCTAACAGACCGAGGGCGACCACTTCTTGACCTGTCATCTACACTAGAGTCTTCATTGTATCGTTTGATGGTACGATAAACGAATCTTTTGGTTATATTCAAATTTTTCAGTATGTTAAAAATTGGAATTGGCGCGTAACCGCAACGATCCAACGCAATAACTGCAACACAGTCTTCTTTAAGCGTCCACTCCATATTTAAAAATGAGTAAAATTCTAAAAGTATATATATTTCTTTTTTCGTGAACAATTCGAAATTCGAATTCAATAAACTATTTTGTGGCCAGCATTCTAAAAGAAAAGTTTTTACTGTGTGACAATACTTATGACCTGACTAGTTATTAGCAAATCAAATTGCAATAAGTAAGTTGTGATGTAGAACATCGCCATAGCGCCCAACTTCAAATTAAATGCAAATGAAAGTGTAATCTGTTAATATATAATTATTAATTTATTAGCGCCAGTAATTATCAGTTTTAGTGATTACAGTGAAGTCTGCAAGGTAATTGAATGACGAATAAATATTTTATTTCACGTGTTTATATGTATATTTCACATAACATTTTAGTTAATAATGGAAATTATATTTGAGAAACAAAACTCATAAACATCATCAGATGTTTCAAAACTAAAGATTTTTTTTTACATTAGGACCCTTAAAATATATTAGTGCTAACTTAATTATCTAATAGCCTAGTACTAATTTTGGCGTCAAAAATTAAACTGTAATTTGGAAATATTTACTTTTTTACAGTATAGATTCGTTTCGATGGTTTGAGGCATTTTATCGTTTCTGTATGTCTGTGACTGTGGTAAAAGGAATTAACGATTTATTAGAATTAGGTTAGCCATTTTGGAGTGGCTGAAACTTTTGGGTCGTAAAACCCTTTGTGTTAAATGTAAAATATCACAGTAAGTGAAACTGAATGATTTTTTTATGTTTTTCGAAGAATGAAGATAATTACTTAAAATATATACACATATACCTAGAGGTGCTTGGAATCATTTCTATTTTCCTCATTTTAGCTACAGTTCCAGACTTAGTAATAAAAGTTTTTTTATACTTTTTCTTACTTAATCATTTAATTTCCGCAGTAAATATTTTAGAACCAGATTTCGATAGCAATGGAAAAATAGCTCTTTCCACATCGTTGTAATTAGGTTACATTTATTTTTAAGTATTATAACAGCTTCATACCACTTAAACTTCATAAAAATACTCTAAAGTGATCAATGGCAAATAATGTAGATTGTTTTATGAAAGGCAATGTTCGTGTCGTATAACTAACCACTGGCACATCTTGATCTGGAACGTTAGCTTACATAAGTGGTTTGTAAAATTTAAACACTGAATACTGCTACATTTCTACTTAGTATTTTTTTTAAAATAGCTATTGTTTAGCTGTGTTGAAAACATTTTATTTTATATTTATATTTTATATACCTAAAATGATCATTATGAACTACTGCTTACAATTTTTTAAACCAATTTCATTGATTTTTGGCTAGATTAATCTGATTAAATTTTATTCTTGAGAATCGTATATATTTCATCACATGTTCTGTTCGCTAATATTCCTTTGTGGTCGAAGTGCTCAAAACTTTTCAAAGCTTTGTACAAGTTTGACCCTGGACTGGCGGTGCTTTGGAAGTCGCAAGCACCATTAATGTAGTACTTGGGATGCAGAAAGCCTCGCTTCACGCCATCTTCAAGTAAAATTTTCGTCCTTGCTATTTGCAGATCCGTAACTCTGGTGTGTGGGTCAAGTTCCTCGCGATAGTCGCCTGTAATGGTAATGTGTGTATGACAGTTAAACGAAAACTAGTTGTAATCAATAAATGTAAAATCTATAAGCATATAAAATTCCTAAATATTAAGAATGTAATAAATTGTGCGGCGCATTTAAACAATGGCTACACAGCGAGATATATTTTTTAAGTATTGGTCCAAAGTTGTGGATTTTATTTCAATTCGCAAGTGACTTCGTGCCTTATTTAGATTTTACGCCATGTTACTGGTATCTATCTCTAATGGTACTTGTGAGAGTTGTTAACAAACTACTGCACGAAACTTCTAGAGGTGTCAATATGAAATTGCCGCAGAGAACTAGTCTACTTAACACTATGGGCACGTTAATTGATCAATGTAATTTTAAAGTAAACATCTTACCAAGAAACCCGATGCCGAGCGAACATCGATTGTAATGATACGTATGTGCTCCCACAAGTCCCCAACCTCGTCCTTCGTACACTCTGCCATCGTTGCCGATCAAAAAGTTGTAACTGGAAGTAAGACCTTGACAGTGCGATGCTGCATTACGCTACCTCAAACTAGTATAAAATGAAACTGTTTAAGTTAAGACAATAATTTAAAAAAATTACTCTTTCATGTTCAAGTCACGTTTTCTCATCGTTCTCTACGAACACGTGTCGTGTGCTGTGTTGATTTCTAAAAGTTCACTCATCCCGTGTACGGAATTTGATATGCGATGACATCTTTAATCAGGAAAATTAATGTACCCATGTTTGATACCTCATCGCTGTTAATTAATTTTGACAACATTTATGACTATTTAGTTCCACCTATTAATACATTTTGTAGCTATTACAATCAATTCAATGCGCTTATCTTTAGAGAGATAAAAACTGACTTGGCACAACAATATCACAATTTATACATTAACTAGCCATACTCGACCGCTTCGCTGGGCATTTAAAATTAACATTATTTAATTTTATTGTCATTATCATTAGGGAATCCAACACTCACATAAATATTAGCCTATCCATTAAGTACATGTATTCTCTACATGGACATCAAGTTTCAAGTCAATCGGATGCACGGTTCAGTAGTTATAACGGAACATCCGTACAAACCACTGTAGATTTATACTTAGTCTGGCCATAAATACTGTTACAATTAAAAATAAACAAAATATTACATTTGAATTTGGAATCTGTCATTTTTATATGATTGCTCATTGAGTTTTCTCATTTTGGCGCCAATACATTGTACAATATTTTGCGATATTAAAATGGAGTGGGGTGATAAAGAGAACCGAATCGCTGTGACTGCATTACACAAAGTATGCCAATTTGGTTTGGTATGGAGCCAAATGCAATTTTTAAAACTCTCCATACGATTGGTATTAGTAAAATGTTTGTGTACCGGGATATTAATAGGTGCAATAAGACCTCCGCTGTTTGTGACACAAAAAGATCTGGCCGTCCACGTAGTGTTCGTACGAAAAAGGTGGTCAAAGCAGTAAGGGAAAGAATTCGAATAAATCCTGTCCGAAAGCAAAATATTTTATCTCGGGAGATGAAGATAGTGCTATCTTGAACCATGCCATCTTGAACCATGAACTCTTTGAACCATGACGCGTATTTTAGAAGATGACTTAGGACTTGCAGCCTATAAGAGACGTACTGGTCATTTCTTAACTGATAATTTAAAAGAGAATAGGGTGGTAAAATCGAAACAACAACTGAAGCGGTACGCATAGGGAGGTCATAGAAAAAATTTTTTACGGATGAGAAATTTTTTACAATGGAGCAACATTTTAACAAACAAAATGACCGTATTTATGCTCAAAGCTCTAAGGAAGCTTCCCAATTAGTCGACAGAGTGCAACGTGGGCACTATCCGACTTCAGTGATGGTTTGGTGGGGTATTAGCTATGAAGGAGTGACTGAGCCATACTTTTGTGAAAAAGGTATCAAAACATCGGCACAAGTGTATCAAGATACCATTCTTGANCGTATTTATGCTCAAAGCTCTAAGGAAGCTTCCCAATTAGTCGACAGAGTGCAACGTGGGCACTATCCGACTTCAGTGATGGTTTGGTGGGGTATTAGCTATGAAGGAGTGACTGAGCCATACTTTTGTGAAAAAGGTATCAAAACATCGGCACAAGTGTATCAAGATACCATTCTTGAGAAGGTAGTGAAGCCCCTTAACGACACCATGTTCAATAATCAAGAATGGTCCTTTCAGCAAGACTCGGCGCCAGGTCATAAAGCTCGGTCTACGCAGTCTTGGTTGGAAACGAACGTTTCGGACTTCATCAGAGCTGAAGATTGGCCGTCGTCTAGTCCCGATCTTAATCCGCTGGATTATGATTTATGGTCAGTTTTAGAGAGTACGGCTTGCCCTAAACGCCATGATAATTTGGAGTCCCTAAAACAATCCGTACGATTGGCAGTGAAAATTTTTCCCATGGAAGGAGTGCGTGCTTCTATTGATACTATTGACTGGCCTCAACGTTTAAAGGACTGTATTGCAGCCAATGGAGACCACTTCGAATAAGCTTTTTATACTTTAAATTGTTTTATATTTATGTATCAAACTAACACACTAATAAACACAGTAATAAATGTTATTTGCCATAGAATTTTTTTTGTTTTCCTTTGCAACAGCATTTATGGCCAGACTAAGTAGATGTTGATGTGCATAATATTTTAGACAACTTACGGAATGTCATCTTCAAGATTGTGTAAGACATTGGATTGAAGAATACGCATTTGCGACGCACATGTTTGGAAGGTGTCGCATTCAGGGCTGACCGTATGCTGAACGATGACCAGACGAATCGGGTTATATTCTCTGACTGATTCCGTGTCGTTTACAATTTGAGCCAACCACATCTCCCTTGTGATGTTCCATTCATGAGGAGCTAAGGAATATTTGTGTATAATAAATTACATCAAGTATGTTTATTATTAATATCTCGCTTGCACATGACGATAATTGAAATATTTATTTCATTATGACGCTTAAAATTTAATTGATGCATATTAAAAAAGTAAGCCGTAAAATAATAACTTTTAATTTAAAATTATTGTCAACGTAAGCATTTGGGTACCGCCTACAAAATAGAAATCAGTTGATAAAAAAATATTACAAAATTATAGCAGTAGTTTCATATTTTTTACATATCTTGGAAAATGCTATAAGCATGATGGAAAGATGGAGAGACGAGCTCACGAATTACCCGGGATGAAGTGGTTATCGAAGCCTAATGAACGTATTAACACTATATACTTATTGAGACGTCGAAATTGAAATACCATGTGGTTTTTATTACCATCCCAAATGCTTAGTTACGGGTAGCAACGACATTGCACCATTTTAACCAGAACACATAGCTTCTTCGTTGTCATCTAAATTTTATAAATTGTAGCTTCGCTATTTTGTTTATTTCTTATTGTTCATCGTCAAGAAAAAAAATTAAAATTAAAATGCGTGAGGAACCTACGTAGTGGTTTTAGAAGAAAATTACATATCGTAAAGTTTTAAAACTATTATTATTTTTGCACTAGTACTCGTTAGGCCACGAGCGAAACTTAAAAAGAAAAATTTTTTTTTTTGCTTAGATGGGTGGACGAGCTCACAGTCCACCTGGTGTTAAGTGGTTACTGGAGCCCATAGACATCCACAACGTAAATGCGCCACCCACCTTGAGATATAAGTTCTAAGGTCTCAAGTAAGTTACAACGGCTGCCCCACCCTTCAAACCGAAACGCATTACTGCTTCACGGCAGAAATAGATCTAAAAGTTTGCCTACTTTTGTGGCCACGATAACTCACCGACATCGATGTCATCATCGTTTGCGACTGTCTCGGTTGTCAAAGCGAAGTACAAAGTTAGCCCGATGCATATGACAAGAGCGGTGAGCGCTACGGAGCACGATAGTCTCTCTGCTCTGCTTGTATTCTTCAAAACTTTCCATAGGTAACGCGGCAGCGGGAGTTCTGAAATATAAATTAGTTTCCTGTTTATCCATGAAAAAATATTCCTCATGAAACAACAACAAATGTATCAACTAAAATTTTGTCTAAATAGTTTTATAACTAAACGAGCTGAGTGCCTTGATGAGCGGCTAACGGAGAATATGTTATAATTACCGCGCGGCAAAAACAAGTAAGCACCTTCCCGTGCTGGTCTGCAACATGCCTCACCGTCAGAACGGAAGGCCGAAACTTACAAGATTCTAATATAATTTAAAGCTTAATCAAAAACAAAATAAATTTACTGACATTAGGTTAAAATTTCACTGAACTTAAGTTCCGTGTTAAATTTATTGAAACAACATGAAACATAATATGGAGTACAATGTGTGTCAAGAAATTATGGACCCTTTCTTTATTATTATCACTGTAAAATTTTTATTATATTAATATTCTATAACATCTTTACTTACTCTGATAGCTGAACATGTTATCTACAATATTATATTATAACTTAACAGTTGAACAAAATACGTAGCGTTTATTCTATTTCAAAAAATTATCAAGTTTATACTATAACCAGTGGTGAATTTACACTACGGGCGGCAAATTTTTTAGGGCGGCAAAATTATGAAAGTGAATTTTTTTTTTCTCATCAAAATCTTACATAGAGCAATCGCTCTATGTAATTAATTAATTCTATAATTACCGATGAACGTGAAATTTTCCACACTTACAATATGTATGAACGGCTGTCTCGTGTAGTGGTAAGTGACATGGTCACTACACAAGCGGATCGCGGGTTCGAATCCCGCCAATGGAGGATATTTTGTATGATAAATATAAAATGTCTTTTCTAGGGTTATGGATGTATATTAAATATATGTATATGTATGTGTATAATAAAAATCTTACATTTTTTCCGTTATTTGGTACCTGTAACATAAGTTCTTTACGAACTTAGCACGGAACCAGTGAACCTGGCGTGATTGTTTTTAAAAAGAAAATATAGAGAAGGTGTGCAGAATGCTAATTTTTTATTAAAAATGCATTATTAATACATTAAATCGATAAAAAAAACATTACGCACACTACCATGTATTTGACACACACACATAACTATATATATTCTTTGTTTACTGTCAAACATTTTGTTATTGCTTAAAGTCTGTGGTCAAATTGAAAATATATTAGTATTGTTTGTCTTTAACTATTTGTCTATAGTGTAGTCTTGGCAATGTATAATAATAGTCTTTGACAATAGAACCTAATGTTCAAACTTATAATTTCAATTAATTATAATCGAATTTCGATTACTGCGTAAGTATATTTACCTCGTGCGTAAGTATAAGACCTCTAGTAAGTATATTTTAATACATAAGCATAAAAATGTTTTGTTCACTAAGAAATTGGTGGTTTTACGTCTACCCGTTGAGGGCGGTAGCCAAGGAATATCGTGATTGAACCAATTAAAACGCCCTGTCTCAACAACTGTCTTCCATACTTCTGATGAAGCAGAACTCATCCAAGGCAGGCTGGGAGCAAAAGTACGCGCTTCGTGCTGAGCCCTTACTCCCCGCCGCCCTACTGCCACTAGAAACCATGCTCGCCGGGCCTCTCAGGCTGTGGGCTGTCCGAGGCCCCTTCCTTACATGGCACTGACAATTCGTACCGCTGGGATAACCCCTCCCTTTTTAGGGCCCCCTCCCTTGGGCTGTCCGAGGCCCCCTACACGGCACTGCCAATTCGTGCCGCCAGGATATCCCCTCCCTTTTTCGGGCCTCCCTTACAATGTCCGTCCACCTGGTTGGCGATCATCTCGACTTCTCTTTCCTTTCACGTGACCTACAACTATTAGTTTTTCCAAGTTGTCAGGATTTCGTCGGGCCACGTGTCCGAAGTACTTGAGGAGACGCTGCATACAGATTATATTTAGACGGGTCTTGACGTTTAGCTTCGAGAGAATTGACACATTTTGCGCCAACACCACATTTCAAATGCGTTAATTCTCGATCGGGTACGGGCCTTGTCTTGATCCCGCTTAGTCAACACCATATACTCGTAGCTTGCGATAGGCAGCGGCTTGGCTCTGCCACTGTAATTGTTAATGTCTATGAGAGCTGTCGCTATCGTTAACCACTCCATAAGGTGGGCCGTAGGGTGAGCATACTAATATGGCCAACAACACTCGAAAAGCAACGCCTAAAAGATACAAACATAAACGTCTACAGGAGTTAGCCTGCGTAAGGGGCTCACAGATACCGCTATTAATTACATTAATCATTTTTAAACGATGTTATTGCTACATAGTTAAAATTGGTTTTCATTAGAAAAAAATGTGCTTTTCCTCACGACTTTAACCTAAACATAGTCGCATCGAAATTGACGGCAAACGTAACCTGACTCATTTCGCTGTTCGACTGTGTAAATCAAATATATGCATAGAGCATTTAAAGTAAATCTTGTACTCATAATACCCACTGCCATAACTAATATTTTTAAATGAGTAAATATTTTTTATTAACTTTTGTAGAGTCTTTAATAATTAATTGTTGTTCGCATTGCTATTTCTTATATTAATGTTCAAGCTTCTGTGAATAAAATAATCTATTAATAGGTAATAAGATAATAAGAACAAAGTAATAAGATAAACACGAACAATTTTTTTCTGGATAGACATAGTTATCACTCCGGGCATTTCTGCTGAAAATAATTTAGTTCTGTTGTTTCGTTGTTTCGTAATAGGACAGACACACAGACTTTCCCATTTGAAATATTGTAAAATTGTTGTTAGTATACAAAGCTGAAAGATTCCTGTACAATTGTATTACCTAAAATAATTCTCAATGAGTCTACACGCACTCATTAAAAACACTAAAATATTCAAACTGGTTCAGTCATTATCACACTTCTCGTATGACTATTTGTCACATGTATCTGATGGACTTTTGGTATTATTATTAAGTACATACATTTATTTCTATTCGTACTTATGGTGTCAGTAGTAGCACCAGACTCATCTGTTTATATGTAGTATTTTAGTCCATGGACATCAGTCATAGCTAGACAAGCCGACTAGTACCTTAGTATTACTAACTTAACCTATACTAGGTTTCACACCTGTATGACAGTATAATTTCAATTATTTACCTAATTAATATTCGATAATGGCAGTTCAGACGGACTTCAAGGAAAACGACAGAATGTTAAGAACTACTAAACATCTTTATTGAACTATCATAAAAATTGACCAAACATAACTTAGAATTCTTTTCGAGTTGAAGTGATAGTTTATCTATTGGTTATTTATAGCTATGTATGTAATGGTGAGCAGTATATAAAATAAAATTAATTTTAATCAAAGATATAACGGTCTGTTATACAATGGTGCACATTGAACTTAAAATACATCACTTTGTACATCATTACTGTATTAAAAAATAGCGTGCATATTCAGTATCCTTTTGAGAAAATTCGTTCTAATGCGGCACAAAAGCATCAAATCAAATTCTTTTATTGTGACAACCGTTTACAAAGCTATAAAGGTATTTATTCATATTCAATAAGCATAGTGTGGCATAAGACACATTATCTTTTTAATTTATTGATTAAAGAAAATTCGTGAAATTGCTTTTCTATTTTTCTTTATACTAAAACAAATTCTTTTCTACGTTGAAAGCTGGCCATCAGGCTCGGGACTCACCTGGTGCTACGAGGGCGGGATGATAAGTAACTAGCCTTTGCTATTTAAAAAGCTAAAATTAAAAAAATATATATGTCATTTTTAAGTTCGTATCTCTGGCCACCTGTGTTCTAAGTTTGAATTTGGTGGCGTGAAAATTTTATTGATTTTTTGTCATTTGAAAATATATTTCGCCAAGTGGTTTCAAATTGGATAAAATTGAACAAAGAGCGGTGATAAAGTTTCTTCATATGAAGGGCATGTAGGGGAAAGATATCTACGACGAGTTAAAAAAATGTTTGGGTGAATGTGCTCCTTCTAATGCCACAGTAAAAGCTGGGTGGATGAGTTTAAACACAGTCGTACATGTGTCCGAGATGAAGCCCGCCTCGGACGTCCAAAAAGCGTCTCGACTCCGAAAATGGTCGTGAAAGTACATGATATGGTTTTAACAGATCGATGATTGAAGTTATCTGGAATAGCTGACACTACAGGTATCTCAAAAGAACGGGTACATCATATCCTAAGTGAGGAATTAAATATGAAAAAGTTATCGGCCCGTTGAGTGCCGCGATTGCTTACGCATGATCAAAAAAGGATCGGGTGCAAAACTCAAAAGAATGTTTGGACCGTTTCAGAGTAATAAAGCCGATTTTTACGTCGATTTCTAACAACAGATGAAACATGGGTTCATTATACACGTCAGAATCAAAAATTCAATCAAAACAGTGGACGCAATCGGGATGCCCGGCTCCAACAAAAACCATGGCTGTAAAGTCGGCTGGAAAAGTGATGGCTCCCGTCTTTTGGGATGCAGATGGGATCCTGATGATAGATTACCTTTCTAAAGGTCAAACAATTAATGGAGAATACTACGCTAATCTTCTAGATAATCTTCATCAATGTATTCAGCAAAAACGACCAGGTTTGGCGGAAAAAAAAAACATCTTCCACCAAGACAACGCTAGGGTTCACACATGTGTTAAAGCTATGGCAAAAATCAACGAATTAAAGTATGATTTGCTGCCCCACCCACCTTATTCGCCTGATCTAGCGCCATCAGACTTCCACTTATTCCCTAAGCTCAAAACTTTTTTGGCGGACAAAAATTTGCCACAAATGATGAAGTCATAGNAAAAAAAAAACATCTTCCACCAAGACAACGCTAGGGTTCACACATGTGTTAAAGCTATGGCAAAAATCAACGAATTAAAGTATGATTTGCTGCCCCACCCACCTTATTCGCCTGATCTAGCGCCATCAGACTTCCACTTATTCCCTAAGCTCAAAACTTTTTTGGCGGACAAAAATTTGCCACAAATGATGAAGTCATAGCCGCTGT